ATCCGTCGGTTTGGATTTTCAGCAAGAAATATGGCTCGAGGGGATGAGGGACTTTGTAGCCGGCGAAGAGGACGCATGGGTTCGCGAGGAGCTGACTACGAAGCACCGCAGGAGGAGAAAATGGATCAACTATCCAGACGATCGTGAGATGGGGAGAGTGCAACAAACGCGCGAATCATGTTCGCCAGGGTATGATCCTGCTTCACGACTTTCACAGTGGCCGCATTGGGAATCTTAGTGTCCTCTTGGATTTCAAGCCTAGGAAAATCCGACGAGCAGAATTGAGGCCCATTGATTTTATTCCAGATATCGATGGACGTGATAACAGCACATACGCCTTCTCGCCCTCTGCCAACACAAAAAGAGCGAATCGATTAGGGGCGTTCATGACGAATAGCCTTTGCAAAAGAGGAGATGGTCAGCGGAGTGTTTGGAATAAGGAGTACGTGTAATGACAAAAGTATCATAAGGTAAAAACTCTATCGTCTCCATTGCAGATGACCCTTGGGCACGACTGCTCGGAGGATTGACAGATTATAATAGAGAAGTTGTATAATCATGTAGGACTGGTGGTGTCCACAATAAAGTCAGAAGTAAAACACACCTTTTGCGACGAGTAAAAAGAAAGAAGCCTGGATACGAAATTTCAGTCAGCGAACATTCTTCCCGGATAAGTTGTCAAAATGTGCGAGCGGTTCAGTAAAAAGTTGTGATCATTGTTATTTCACGGACAATAAATATATAGGATAACCATCATGCGAAATTTTATGGGTCCACGAGGAGAAGAAAACTCACTGGGATGGGGCGATGAGCGAAGGAAGAAAGTGCGATGGCTTGAAGGTTTTATGGTCGAATTGAAGCGGAGTCTTGAAATAAGGTTACCGCACAGACGCGGATTTGGAACAAGGTATTGACATGAAGGTAAGGCTTATCATCACTACCGCCGCCACTCTCGACACCCCCCTCAAGGCGAGTTCCTGTTTCTCTGCATCTCCGTAGTGCTCGTGTCCGTCAATCATGCCGTCGTATTGCTGGACGCTGCAATTCTGCCCAGAGAAACGGGTGGATTGAGATCACAGCGGATGGATGACTTGAGCACAACTTGGATGAAGCGGACATGCGCTGACTCGATACGTTCCGGGGATTTGTTCGCAATATCTAGACATGCCGACCCATCTCTCCAAGACCCGCAAGCACCGTGGGCACGTCTCTGCTGGTCACGGTCGTGTAGGGAAGCACCGCAAGCATCCCGGTGGTCGTGGTCTTGCCGGTGGTCAGCACCACCACCGTACCAACTTCGACAAGGTATACAGGATTTCGGCCCACCTTGAAATTCCGCGATTAATAAAAGTATATCTTAGTACCATCCTGGTTACTTCGGTAAAGTTGGTATGCGTCACTACCACCTTACCCGCAACATGTACTGGCGCCCGATCATCAACGTCGACAAGCTCTGGTCACTTCTCAAGCCGGAGGAGAAGGAGGGCCTCAAGGAGGACTCCGAGGTTGTGCCAGTAATCGACACACTGCAACATGGTTACGGCAAAGTTCTCGGCAAGGGACAGTGCGTATTTTTAATCCCTCCTTCCGATCGTCTTCCCACAACGACTTCTTTCTTCTCATCCCAGACTACCAAAACTGCCTTTCATTGTCAAGGCACGGTTTGTTTCCGCCCGCGCAGAGTGCGTTATTATCTGTATACTTTATCTGAAAACGATCGCTTATCTATGTTACTCTCCAGAGCAAAGATCAAGGAGGCTGGTGGTGTCGTCAAGCTCGTCGCATGATTCTTCTCCTTTGCATCTTTCTTTTACGCTGTTTCTTATTAAAACACACCCCGCTGTCGCGCAGCACACATGCCCATGTATATGCCCCGCTTGAATGCCCACACCATACATGCCCACTTTTGGCCGCGGTCGCTGCATCCTGTGAGCTCAAAAATTGCTTCTTACCTTGGGCAATGCTTGTAGCTCTAGAACCCCGTGATCCGCCGCACTTCCGATATATACAAGCTGCTTCGAAGCTCCTAGAGCACGTCATCATCGCTCGTCGGGAACGCTCCTCATTGAAGACTAGCTATGCTTGAGTGTCTTGCGACCTCTTTCGAATGCCCTCAAGGCTTCTGACACTCCCGACTCTGCATCTGCCCGATGCTGCGTACATCTACCAGAACGCGAGAATACCTCAACCGCATGCTGCTCGCCTTCGTGATGCTTGTTGTTATGGTTCGCCGTCTTCTGCCGCCTACCATAACTACGACTAAGTATGAGTATGATCTTCGACGGTGTCTTCACATGGTTCAACCTGTTGCTTCTAGATGTCCATACGCTCTAGTGTGTGCAGACCGAGTCCCTGCCAAGGCCGCGCAATTAGTATAAACGACATTGACTGTGTGCTGGCCACTTCCTCATCCCAACCTTGAGCTTGCCCCCAAGATGAAGTCAGCATCATACTCGGCGGCGATTCTCCTCGCGCTAACAAAAGTCGTACTCTGCGGAAATGTTCAGCTCCCTTCGGCGAAACTGGCACCCAATCTAGAGCTCGCTCAAGAAGTCAAGGACCTCTTCGTGTCCGTGTACGGCGACTATAAGAAATATGCGTTTCCACACGACGATCTCTTGCCAGTCAGCGCGTCCTGGACCGACAGTCGGAACGGATGGGGAGCAACGGTCGTGGATTCGCTATCGACGATGCTACTCATGGGATTGGACGTTGGTATCTTGCTCGTTTTTCGGCACCAAAATTAAACTCACTGTCTTTTCATGCGCGGCAGGACCTCTATGCTGATGCATTGAACTTTACTGCCAAGATTGACTTCAGCAAGAGTAAGACTAGCTCCACGGTCTCGTATGCCCAATCGCTCCCAAGATCTATTGACTCGCGCTAATGGATAACTTCGAACAGGGTATTCGAGACTACCATTCGCTACCTTGGTGGAACTCTTTCTGCCTATGAGCTCGGAGGGAAGAAAGATGCCATCTTGATTGAAAAGGCGAAGCAAGTTGCCGACAAAATGGCTGTTGCCTGGGTTGGAGTGAGTGGCATACATTCACCTGTATACTCTCTTAATCTAACAGACTTTGTGATCAGAAAAATGAGATCCCATACGGATTTGTTAATTTCTCGACCAATAAACCTACTATAGCAACGGTTCGCACCGCGTCTCTGGTCATCTAGCACACGTCCTGAATGATTTATCATACAGTCTAACATCGCCGAAGCGGGAACGCTAGCTCTCGAATGGGCAACCCTCGCGAAATACACCGGTAACAGCACGTACCGCGCACTCGCGGAGAAGGCGTTGAAGCGCATTGGAGATAATGTGCGGCGCTTGTTCCTCTGTGTGGTCACGTTGCGGGAGGCTAAATTTCCATACACAGGCCGCTCCGCTGCCTGGCCTTAGTGTTCAAGGTATCGACCCGAGCAACGGAAATCCAGTTGGCGACTATATTGTAAGAACTATTCCCTTCATACATTATTGTCGGAGACTTATTTGAGGGGTTCAGACTTGGGGAGGTGGTTCAGACAGCTACTTTGAGTATCTAGTCAAATACGGTCGCCTCACCAATAACGCCGACACCACATGAGTGAACCGATGGAAGTTGGCGGTCGACAGCTCGATCCGTTATCTAGCCAAGAATTCATCTGTCGGAAATCACCTCTATCTCACGGACTACACCGGTGGACGAAACCGCTATGTTAGTTCAAATTTAGCTTGCTTCCACGGTGAGCTATAGCCCATTTGTATTCACGGTTAGCCGCACCAACACGCTTGTCATCGCAGGTGGTAATTGGATTATGGGTAAGTCAAGGATCTATCACCAGTGTTCCGAGGGTTCTTCTAAACATGTTTCTTCTTGCTAGGTGGCAAATTACTGGACAATTCCACCATTGTCGACTACGGTTTACGTCTCGCAGATGCCTGTTTCAATACGTACTCTCAAACAGCGTATGTCAATAATCGTGCCATCTGGTGTGACCAAGACTTATCGCAAGCCATTAGTACAGGAATAGGTCCCGAAGTTTTCGCATACGTGGGGAGTGACGGTGGCACTTACACCGGCGCTGGTCTAAGTACATCCGATCTCAACTTTTACAACCAGGTAGGATTCTATGTTTATATTCTTTGGATGTCATTCTGAGCTCACCATCAAACAACACTTAGCACGGCTTCTACGTATACCCCGGCGGATACGGCTACTGGGACATGAGGCCCGAGGTTCTCGAATCAAATTTCTACGCTTGGAGGGCAACTGGAGACATAAAGTACCAACAACGTGCTGCTGCGGCATTGAAGAGTATCAAAACGTATGCCAAAGCGAGAGCGGGCTACGGCGGCATCCAAAATATCCTCGATGCTAAATCCAGTGTAATGGACCACACGGAATCATTCTTCCTCGCGGAGACGCTCAAATATCTGTGAGGCAGCTTTTTGTCTTCCTTTCCTAAGGTCATGGCTAGTTTGAGTGCTGATGAGTTTTTGCGGTATTCCAGCTACTTGACTTTTGCGGACCCCGAACTCGCCAACCTCGACAAATGGGTGTTCAACACTGAGGCGCATCCCCTTGAAGCACCTCCTGTGTCCTCGGCCTTCAGTGCCGCGTCAGCTACAACCCCTATCTCGCACTCGCCTCCGTTCGTCGTCCGCCCTGGCGCTCTCCCCGCCATTAGCCAATCCCCTTGGTTGCCAAGACAGCTTGTAGATTTTGTCAACCAGGCTTAGTAGAAATACGTAGAGCAGCAAAGAATAATATACTGCCGCTTGTCTCCCTCGTGCGTATACTCTAGCGATGGACACATTGATTCCACGCAAAACCTACCAGCGGGATAGTCGTATTGGAGCAGGGGGTAGAAACGTGTGCCCGTATAGGGGGAAGGGAGGGGGTCTATTATGCGATTCCAACAAAAACATGATGAACGATAAAGTATCTGCTCGTCCGCTAGTCAGATCCACTCCGGCGGCTGGAAAGCAAAGAGTGAGCGGAAAAAGCAAAAGATTATGCCGCCTGCCAGGTTTGAACTAGCGACCTTTTGTTGTCAATACAAGACAAACGATCTACCACTGATCTAAGGCGGCTTGGTACAACCTTCCAAGGTGCTGCATTCTGCGGTAAGCACAGGCTGCATGTTGCAGTGCCATGGAGCTGTGCACCCAGGCGGATGGCCAGGTGAAAACGCGCATGTGTGTGGGAGGGGGGGGAGAGGGGGTGCCTCCTAATGCATAAGCACTGGACTAAGGCAGCTCGCCAGGATAAAGCATGATCGATCGAAATAACGCACGATACAGCTCGATTTCGGTGCATAGAGGCACAAGTGGTTTTAGTTTTTGTCTCGGCTATCACCCGTACGTCTTTGATCCTCCCCCCTTGCGTGGGTAGAGTAGGGATTCCGTGATTGAGTTAAGCTCGTCTCCCAAACCACAGGTGTTCTCCAACACTCAATACTCGAGAGCAATGAGTATTATATCGATCGGCTCATCTGTGCTGGAGTCATCGCACGATGGTGGCCGTCCGCTCAGGTGCGCCTACTCTCACATAGTTGAAGCCGTCTAGATCCAGGAGATATTCAATTACACAGACCCCAAAGTTCATTATTCGACGACACGACACGAGATTAGTGGCGCATCGGCAGGGTAGATAGTCGTAAGTGGAGGCTTGCGAGTGAAGCGGTCAGTATAGCGACGGCCTCTGATTACATCGGACAGCTGGACTAGATCATCGTGGTCTAAGGTTGGTAGTAGCTATTCAACGTTCATTGTTGACTCAGCGTCAGCTCCGACGTGACAAACTAGCGTGACAGAGTCTATTGTCACCCACTACTCAACGCCAATAAACATTAATATTTAACAGTGGTCCTTGGGCGAATTTTTATCAACAGACGGGTAACGCTAGGCATGAGCACACGGAGCATGAGTGCATGATGGTGTATAACAGGGGGGATTTTTGTAGTACTGACAAAGCCCTAATTCACATGGTGAGTCTGAAAAGGGTGAGGTGTGGCTAGAATGGAAGGGGGGCAGAAACTGAGAACGAGACCGCGAGAAAAAGAGAAAGTAAGAGAGGAAAGGGAAGCAAGGGAAGGAGACAAACACAGCCAGAAAAATGTAAGGGGGAAACAAGGAGAGGCGAGAAGTGCATATGCCTTGGAAAAAAGAGTCGTATTGCCAGATGGTACGGAAGGATGTGTGTGAGGACGAGGTGTATGGTGTGTGGGCGGGACGGAGAGGAGACAAAAAGGCGGGGGGATGAGAGGTATGTATGATTGAAAAAAGAACTGGAGGGGGGAAGCGTGTATATGGTGTCGACGATGAGGAAGGCAGGAAAGGAGTTCGGCGCAAAAAAAAAAGAGGTTGGGAAGAAAGAGTAAGAGAACGCAGACAAGCGGGTAAGACATGTAAAAATCTTGGGGGAAAGGAGCGTAAAGTTGTCCGTTTGCATAAGGCGAACAAGACCGGACAGAAAAAAAGGTCAGGCCCTCGTAGAAAGATGATCAGCCCCAAAATACTCCCGCAGCCCCGTATCAAATCCCCCGTAGATCTCAAACCCTAATTTACATTCATGTAGCTCCAATCGCGCACCCTCCGCCATCTTCCCGTCCACCCCCGCAGGCCCTCCCGTCCATGTGCTTGACAGAATACGACCTGCGAGGGCGGGACGCTTCCCTTCCCCCCGAAGATCAGGCGCTTAGCCGACCTTGTTCTCTCCCTTCTTTTTTTGTTTGCGTGGCGGTGTGACGGGCCGTCCCATGTTCATCCCGCCATAAGGGTACTTCTTCTTCTCTGCGGGTTTAAGGATCTTGGATAACGAAATTAAAACATCGTGTGAAATTCTTATCGCAGAGAGAATCCTTGTTTGAAAAAGGTGGACTGACCTGGAAGGAACACAATAGCGTCTCGTCGACACTCATCATGGCACCCGCGTTGTCGAATTCGCCACAGTAGTTTGGCGCAGAGAAGAGCGTGACGAGCTGTCGTTTGGCAAAGAACTCGTAGCCGTCCTCGACGACTTGGTGCGCACGACAGATGAGGTCCATGTCGTGCTTTTGTAGGAAGCGCGATACGACGTCCGGCCCGAATGTAAATGATACACCGCGATCGTTCTCACTCCAGCCAGATATGTCCTTGTCGGGGTCGGACCATAACAAGTCGCACAAAAGACCTATGCAAAAGACAAAGCACGATATGTCGGGGGTCCCATCAGCGCGTGACGAGCTCAGATAGACCCACCCGTGTCTGGAACGTCTGTGGGCCGCATCACCCGTCGAATCTGCTCCATGCTCTGCAAGTCCGGACTAAGTCCGCCGTGCATTGTAAAAATCTTTTCGTCGATAATCGCCGCGATCGGGAGACAGTTGAAACAATCGGTGAACGTTTTCCAAAGTTTTATGTTATACCGACGCTTGCCTATGTGGGTGGAGAGCCGTCCGCGGGTGAGTAAGAGCCAAGGACACAATGACCTGACAACGCTCAACGCTTACATTCATCATAGAACCCGTATATCCTGTTGATACTTGCACACTCGTGGTTACCTCGGAGGATGAAAAAGTTTTCTGGATACTTGATCTTGTAAGCGAGGAGCAGACATATGGTTTCCAGACTTTGTTTTCCTCGATCGACGTAGTCGCCCAGGAAGAGGTAGTTGGCTTCTGGAGGGAACCCGCCGTATTCGAATAAACGCAAGAGGTCGTAATACTGCCCGTGGATATCGCCTGATCAAGCCGAGTGGGGATAGCGTGAGTTTCCCGACGGTCAGATTCCCGAATAGGTAAGTGTCTGCACGCACCGCAGATCTTGATAGGTGCCTCGAGTTCGAGTAAGATGGGCTGGTTGATGAAGATCTCTCTTGCTTTCATGCAGAGATGTTTGATTTCGTACTCCTGCAACTGCACGGGTTTCCCAGGGCGGTTGCCTCGGACTATTGCGGGCGAAGAGGAGTGGCGGTCAGCAAAGGTCCGACTCGCTCCCAGCGAGCGCCGCCCGGCTTTCCTACACGATGTGCATCGCGAGATATCGTGCGAGGGCGGTGGGGAGGGCAAAAAGGAAGGGATGAAAATTTGCCCACCTTCAAGGAGTCGATCTATTACGGAGTCCAAATCGATTTCTGGGCTTGATTCTGCCATTATATCGTCGCGATGCGTTAGAGATGTGGGCTATGAGATGACAACACAGGATGGGCGGGGGAGGTAAGGTTGGGATGGGGGACGTGGCCGAGATGGTGGTGGATGGAGAAGGGAAAGTCTCGTGTCTGCGGAGAAGGAAAAAGGGTCAGCGAGGATTTGCAACAAGAGCGATAAATGGACAACAGCAACAGATAGAAGAAGACGTGGTGGGCGGCTAAGAACAAGAGGAGATTCGAAGAAAATGATTCGTTGTCGGGTGATGTGGATCAAGGTGTACATATCAAGTGAAAACCTGTGCATTTTTCGTAAAATCACACAAGCGACAACACAAACCTGGTCACGAGGCCGTCGTGGGGTGTAGCGCACGGGGAGCGTGGACTGCCTGCTGGACGGCGAGCAGAGCGACGAGGGAGGAGAATGGAGGGAGCAGATGGGTGTGGCGTGTGCAAAGGCTTTGGAGAGCCGCGACCCGCTCACCGCCAGCCCAGATAAGCTTTTCCGGATGTACTCGCCCCCTATCCTCCGCTTCAAATCTCCCCGTTCACGTCTCACCGTGCCATCATCGCAGTCCGCTGGAGCGGGCGCATTTTTTCTCAGTTCTTTTGTGTTTTCTGTTTATTTTCGCCACGTCAGTAGCTGGTTGCATGTCTCTGCGCCGATGCCGACGGCGACGGGGGCATCCAGCCTCGAAACAACGCAACCCGCTGGGGATACTTGGATCTTATCGTATCCCACGCCGCACCACTGTTCTCGGCTTCCGATTCTCCATTCTCGCACACGTACGTGCGTACGTACTCGGCGGGGGATGAAACCACTCGCAAATGAGTGCATCCTTTACGAATTTCAGCTGGTAACGTTGCAGCCGCAGAGCCCAAATCTCAGAATTAGGTCACTCGGGCTCCCCCGTAGCCAGCACCTACCATCTCGGGGTGGCTCGGGTGGGCGTATCCTGAGTCATGAAACCTGGGAACAAATCTCGGTTTCAAACGGCGTTTCGACTCGATCAACCTCGAGGCTCGAGACCTGTTGATCTTCCATCCCACGGAACTCAGCCAGGCAACCTTGTTTCCCCGCATCGCACGAGCCGCATAATCGTAATGGAAGATCAATTGGTTTTGAGCGGGTCAATGGTATTGGGGACGGGCAACGCCCTATGAAACCCTGTGCACGACGCGACCTATGTGACATAAGCCGGATGCAAGGATCGGCTCAATCGACTCATAGTGATTAATGGTCAAGCCACGGTCAAGCTGCGCGTCTGGAGCGCAAACAGCTCAGTAGCCTAGAATTAAGCGACCTAAAGCGTGTGGTACGAAGTAGAAACGATGTAGCTACGAGAAACTAGAATAATCGACTAAGTAAGTAAGACCTAAATAGCAAATTAGATATTCCAATATATTAAATATCAATAATGATCGCACTCCCCCTCGTCGGAGTCATCCTCGCGCGCAAACACATCTCCCAAGACCATAGTGGCTCTAAAAAGCTCAGCCTAGTCCTTGCTTGGGCTCTCACCTCTAGACTTGCGCTCCCCCCGACGCTTCACTGCTCCTATCACCATGAGCTCTTTATTCGTGGTCTTGCACTTCTTTGGTATGTCCTTGTCAAATCGCCGGTGCCAATCGAGCTCCTTATATAGTGGCTTGCTCTGGATGTCCTGGATGTCTGTACGAGGCTTTATCTGGGCAAAATTGTGTTGCTTTTTGGCAGCGGCGGCACGCCGCGCCGCCGCCGCCTTCGTCACATTCCCCGGTGAATCAGCCCCAGGTCTCCAAGGTTCCCTCACAAAAGGCGACGAATACTGCCTCAAGGTGTGGGAGCGTGGGGGCCAGGCGGGCGATCGCATCAATCATTAATCAAGTCTGGGCGCGTCCATGGCTTCAAGTTGAGCATGACCGACCGCTCTTGCGCTTTGCTCAGCTTCACTTGTGTCTCTGCGCGCCCTCTTCTGCATCCTCT